GTATTGGGGTGCAGCGAGGTGTATTGGGGCGCAGCGAGGGGGTTGGGAGGTGCAGTGGGGGTGTATTGGGGTGCAGTGGGGGTGTATTGGGGCGCAGCGAGGTGTATTGGGGCGCAGTGAGGGTGTATTGGGGTGCAGTGGGTGTTCAGTAAGGGGCTGGCATGCAGTGGGGGTGCAGTGAGGTGTACTGGGGTGCAATGGGGGGCCCAGCAGGGGGCTGGGGGTGCAGTTGGAGAGTTGAGGGGTGCCGTGCGGGAGCTGGGGCTGCGAGAGGCCCGGTCTGGGGGGGCGGGGGCCCAGGCGCCAGGGCAGGGGTGATGCGAGCCCCGGAGCTGGGCGGGGGGTGGGGCCGGGCTGTCCCTGGAGCCCTGCAGGGATGGGGCACCGGTGCAGTGGGGGCCCCCGGGGCTCTCCTGGGTCCCCCCCCAGGGCTGCGGCCGGCCTGGGGCCTCCTTGGTGCCTCCTGCCCCGTCGCTGCAGGCATCTGGGGCCAGGCCGGCGGATCCGGCTGCACCGGTTCCTGGAAGCAGCTCCTAGGTCTCGAAGAGCCCTCACCTGGGGGACGCTGTTGAATAATTAAAGCAGGGAGAGCAGATAATTAGCACAGGCTGGGGGGTGCTTCCTGCTCCCCCCTGCAGCGTTACCCCAGGACCCCCACTCCCACCCCCCGCAAGCCCAGCCTCGGGTGCTGGGGCTGTGCCCGATGCAGCCCAGGCCTCTCGGCACTGCCCCGTTCGCCCCCCCCGGGGGGGCAGGAAGGCGCTGGGCTTCGCCGTCAGGGTTCGTTGGCACTTTGCTAATTCGCCTGGTTGCTTCTTCCCCTTCCCCTTCCCCTTCGCTCCGTGCCATGCACTCGCTGTAGCAACTTCCCCCAGCAACAGGTTGGAGCCGCGGGAGGCCCCCGGCCGGCCGTGGCCCCCAGGGCAGAGGGGGGTTTGCCGGCTGGGCCTGGCTTTGCTGGTGAGGGGGGCCAGGGTAAAGTCCGGGCTCTCCCCGCTCCCGTCGCCTGACGCGGCCGCCCGCTCTCCCCCCAGACTTCCTCTTCAAGTTCCTGGTGATCGGGAGCGCCGGCACGGGGAAGTCCTGTCTCCTCCACCAGTTCATCGAGAACAAGTGTAAGCCCCCGCAGCCTCCCAGTGACTGGGGTTCGGGTTTCCGTTCCCATCAGGGCTGCTTTCCGCTCCCCCCACTTCATGTCGGAGCTGAACGAGCCACCGACTGCCTACACCCCTGGCTTGTGACCGTCAGAGGAGCGAGGGGCGTTTTGAGGGGAGCCCGGCTGGCTTCAAGGTGGCCGGTGGGGGCTGCATTTGGGGTCTGGCTGTCACCGCCCCATACGGCCGCAGCGTATCGGGGAGGAGCTGGGGTGGCCGAAGAAGCAGCAGGTGGGGAGCGAGGGGTGCTGGTGTTGGGTGGGGGGGGGGCGCTCAGCTCGTCGCGGCTCGTTGCTCCCCAGTCAAGCAGGACTCCAACCACACCATCGGCGTGGAGTTCGGCTCCAAGGTGGTTAACGTCGGGGGCAAGACGGTGAAGCTGCAGATCTGGGACACGGCCGGACAGGAGCGCTTTAGGTGCGGAGCAGGGCTGGGGACCCTCCTGGGGTGGGGGGAGCTGGGTACCAGCACTAGCCCCTCTGACCCTCCTCTCCCCGCTTTGCAGGTCGGTGACACGGAGCTACTACCGCGGGGCAGCCGGGGCCTTGCTAGTCTATGACATCACCAGGTGGGTGTCACCAGTCGCATCCCTGGGCAGGTTTGGGGGTGGGACTCGGGGACCCCCAGAGTCAGGAAAAGGCACCCTTGGCAACCTGGGACTTCTCCCGGCTGGGAAGAGAGCTCCATCCTGGTGACGGGCCGGGCCTGGGGGTCCCTGCGGGTGGAGCTTGTCTACACTACAGCACTGGAGCTGTGCTGCCGCCTGGGGGCAGCATCCTGTGAGCTGAGCCCCTGCTTTTAGGGCTGGGGACTTGGGCGAGCTCTTTCTGTGCCTGATGAGTGGGAAGTGATGGGGGAGCTCCTGGCCAGCCTCCCCCCAGCCCCTGCTCTGTGCCCCCTGGTAGCCGGGAGACCTACAACGCACTGACCAACTGGCTGACGGACGCCCGGACCCTCGCCAGCCCCAACATTGTCATCATCCTCTGCGGGAACAAGAAGGACCTGGATGCCGACCGGGAAGTCACCTTCCTCGAGGCCTCGCGCTTCGCCCAGGAGAACGGTACCGCACTAGAAGGGAGGGGATCAGCCTGGGGGCCTTGTGTCCCCAGAGGAAGAGGAGGTGGGGAGTTTACTCCAGGCTCAGCAAACGGGCACTCGGTCCCTGCAATGCCTCCAGGCCATGCTGGGTGCAACTGAGCCCTTGATCTCCCCTCCCCACCCGGGCAGAGCTGATGTTCCTGGAGACAAGCGCGCTGACGGGTGAGAACGTGGAGGAAGCCTTCCTTAAATGCGCCCGCACCATCCTCAACAAGATCGAGTCAGGTAGGAGCTTGAACGAGTTTGGAGGGAGCCGGGTCCTTGCAGGGACTCGGGGCAGAGCCTGCCTTGCCTTCGTCCCCTGGGGAGAGCTGGCAAGGGGAGCTCAATGCAGCCCCCACTGGATGCTCCGTGGCCAGCCCGGCCCTTTGCGCTCCTGGCTGGAGCTATTTCCACCTGCCCTACAGCAATGCCCGCACTCTTCCCCCAGGTGAGTTGGACCCCGAGAGGATGGGCTCCGGCATCCAATACGGGGACGCCTCCCTGCGCCAGCCCCGCGGCCCCCAGACACAGACCAAGCAGCCGTGCAGTTGCTAGAGCCTGCCGGCCACACCCACACATCTGGATGCAAGGTGGGGAGAGGGGGCTATTTTTGGAGCAGGCAGGGGCTCAGGGCTCTTCTGAGTGCAGCCCTGACCGCCCCGCGCGCCCCCCCCCCCCCTTTTCGCCGCCCCCCCCCCTTTTTTTTTTTGCCTCTCCCACCCAGGACCACGTGCCTCGCTCGCTGAGCCCTCGCCCCCATCCCGGTCTCTGCACCGCCTGCCTCCGTCCATGGTGCCCTGGGACTCTGAGCTTTCCTTTGCAGTAGACGCTCCCCGTTCCATGGACCGGCTGCACCCCACACCCCCAGAGCTCCAGCATCTCCCTGGCCCCGGCATTGCTTGCGTCGGCCTGGCCAGAGCAGCGCCCTCTTCTGCCAGCTATGGTTTGGTGTGCAGCTCCTGGCACGCGCGGGGATGGGATGGGTCCCCTTTGCGGTTCTGGACAGCACTGGTGGGGTGTCCCCCTCACTGCCAGGACCCCGGCTCAGCTCGCCTTGATGGCTCTGGCCCTGGGCTGGGAGTGAGCTGAGGCCAGTGCTGCCCCGTCCACGTCTCTTTCGCCCCCACCCCCTGGCACTAACGGGTCCTGCCCCCCCCCGACGAGGTGACGTTCTGCTGTAACCGACCGTCGGGAGCCTGTGTCCCCCTCGCTGTACTGTAGGGGCCTGCCCCCCAGCAGCTGCTAGGGCTCCAGCTGCCCAGCTTCACCCCGTCTTCTCCCCTCCAGCAGGGTCCAACACATGCCCCGGGGGCAGATTTGCACCCACTTCTGCCTCAGTTCCCCCCGCTCCCAGGTGCAGCAGGTGGACCCCCTGCCCCCCAGCATGTGATGCTCTTGCCCCAGGGGCCCTGGTACTGGCTGCCTGTGGGGGGGGGTCTGCACAGCGGGGCTGGTGATGGGCTAAGCCCCCCTCCTCTTTC